CATGAATCCAGGGCATAATATGTCATATGATTTCAGCCTGCTCCAGTTGAACCTGTGGCATCATTTCTATTAACCTTCCCTCCCCCCCCCCCCAACAAATCTTACAAATGTTTGTGAACAAAAGGTTTTAAAGGTTCTTGTTTTTACTCGCTGTACCTTCAGCATTAGTTGGGCATCCTATTCATGCTTGTGTGTAGGAAAGTACACTTGGGTTTGGGTTTTTTTTCAGAAGGCATTAGCTCCTCCATTCCATTTGGAACTTAATGGAAGTTGTGGGTGCCAGCCCCTCTGAAAATCAGGATTGGGCTGTATTCTAATAGAGGAGAGGACAGTGATCTGTATTTAACATTAGGTGGCACAAAAGAGTTGCATTTTGCTCAGAGGGATACTAAATTAGAGAAGGAAGGTTGTACAGAATTTTTATTTTCTTTGTGAATTTTTCCTGTTTATGCCCCCTATATATAATGGTCTATAAAACACTTTTGCGTACATTTTATTTTATTCTTTTCGTGTATCCATTTTGCTTATTAACATCGTCTTTAGATGTATGGACAATTAAAAAAAAGCCCTCAATCATGCAATAATCAAATACACACAATAGCCAAATCGGAGCCAATTCCAGCTGGAACATGCCCCACCGAACCAAGCTTACCCCACAAGGCTCTTAACTGTGGTAGTCATTATAATCACTGAAAGTATTTATTGATCTCAAAGGCTTTTCTTAAGAATCCTTGGGGTATTTAAAATATATATACCAGTATGTGTTTATGCCTAACTTAGTACACAGGTTACTTTGTGTACATTTTTCATATTTTCTTTTATTGTGTGTATATGGTTAAATGTATGGGTCACAGCCCTGAAATACTTGCCAACATGAGTGCGTTTGTGAATAGCCAGCTTTAAGTAACTAGGAATACTCCTATAGGTTACTCAGGCAGGTAAGTGTTTGTAGGAGGCTTATGATTTGATGAAGAGTCTGATCTTGAAGTCATTACTCAGCAATATGGCTACTATCTTTTCATATGGGACTTTGGCCTAATGCATGCAGACTGACCACTTTAAAAGCAAGGGGAGTTTTGTCATTGACTTCAGTGGGAACAGGATCAGGCCTCAAAACTGGCCTTTCATGCATTGTCAGCAGTTAAAAAAAATTCTAAATATATTCCCATAATTGGAAAGAAGAAAAATGTGCCTATTGTCTACATTCTAAGTCCTTTTTTTTTAATAAATTCAGGATTTTCTGTGTATAGCTGGAGTGGAGTCAGGATAGCAGCAGCCGCCTAAGATAAGAACAAATGGAAATCTATGAATACAAAATACTTTCCAAGAACAGTGCTTGGTTTATTAAAGACAAACACAGCTCCCTCCTAGCTAGCTCTACTAGTCTCTTTTAAAGGGCTTGTCTGAGGAGGTATTTCTCTCTCTTCCCCTCCACTCCCAGCTTTAATTGTATATAGGGCTGTCTGGTATTTTTTTTCTTCCAGCTTAGGCTAAAAGACTGCATATGAAATTGTACTAGCAATTCACTTAGGCTTTGTTTGCTGTGGTCTAGCCATTCCTTCCTTCCTTCCTCTCCCGGGTACCTATTCTGCTACTATTGCTCTAATCCCATGATGAAGATGTAGCTTTCCAGCTCCCCATTCCATCTGATTAACTGTTGTTCTTTTCCAACGCTCCACTTTTTGTTCACATGGGACAGAGCCCCAGTACTATGGACCTGAAGTAATCTGAATCCAAAGCTGCCTCTCTGGCAAGGGCCATCTGTAGAGCTGCA